GAAGACCTGAAATATGTCTTGTTCTGAATTGAAGAAGTCAGTGTGTACTACTGTAGTAATGTACACCGGCCTTCACAGTAATGAACTTGGTCGTCTTCCAGTCAGAGAATCATGATTTGATGTGATGATCACTGTGTTCATATCTGACCTCAACTACATGGTTTGTTCTCAGTAACCAGTTTATCAACAAATGGACCCAAAAAAATGCTGCACAGAAACTTCAATGTGTAAATAAAACGTGTGATTCGTTGGCCGTATCTGAATGACTGTCATGACCGTGTGTAACCTGCAGGTGATGCCACCAGTCGGTATTGAAGAAGTCCAGGAGACAGGTGTGATACTTAGAACATCTTTATTTGGATGAGTCGTCTCAGGCCTTGGTGACACATTTTTACAGTGGAGACAAGAGCGACCCCTGTGATATGAGGTCAGCAGTGGTACAGACGTCCACAACACGGACTCACACTGTCACTTTGAGTTTTACAGCATGCAGCGGCTTTAAATACTCAGATCAAACACAAGTATCTACAGGTGATTCATCAGACGGAATGAGTTTCAACGACACACATTATATCAATGCTTCATCACACAATATCTGTACAGTGACACACGTGCGAACACACAGTCGCTCCGGCACTGAAGAACAAAATCATCGACGACGACACGTTCACAAAAACACACTCATCAATTGCGGGAGAAGGAGACGTTTGGCCAGAGAGGCACAGAATAAATATGGTTGATGGTTGAAATCTTCTGTCAACACTCTTCACTCAAACAGCAGGTCTTCGTCATTTTCCTCCGTCAGCATGTTCGCAGGCTCCGCGATGGGACCCAGCTTGGCCAGGCGGGCCTCGATCTCACGTTCTGTCCTCTCTCTGAGCTGCTTCTTCTTCTCTTGGATCTTCTTCAGCCTGGAGCAGGACATGAATCATAAGTAAATGTGTCAAAAATGAAAATATGAGATTGTTAAAGGTTGTTTATTCAGTGGTGGTTTGTTTTTTTAACCTGTAAAATTCCTCTCGTTCTCTCTCGTCCAGCTCTGTGATGATGTAGGTGAGAGTGCGATCGATCCTCGGAATAATCACTGAAAAGTGGGGAAAAATTAGGATTTAAGGTAATGTGGATAAAAACTGTATTTTTCAGTTTAAACATTTTAAGTACAGTTTTGTGCTGTTACCGTGTTCTATTGCGTTCACACGTCGGTTGGTAATCTTTATGGCTTCGTCCAGAGTCACAAAGGAGGTCTGAAGGCAGAAGTGACAGTGAAATAACTGTCCAAACTACAGAACTGTCCTGAGTTTAATATTGAAGTTACCTGTTCTAAAAACTGGTGATTAGAAATAACCACGAGATAAAAGGTAAAAGTGTAAAGCTAAACTATGTCGTGTGCAACAACGCCCTCTAGTGTACCTGTAGGGAAGCAAGCTCCACCAGCAGCTCCACAGCTCTGGCGTAGTTCCTCTTCAACCTGGACAGCTGCTCTCCACCTCTGGCCAGACCAGTGAGCTCATAACCTGAAGGACATGACGAAGGTGAGAAGTTTGTCTTTACATTTAAAAGGATCCAAAAATAAATAAATCAATGAAGAGATGACTTACTGTCCCCGCCTTCCTGGTAGTGCTCAAAAACTGGTAGAGTGACGCCTGAATGACAATCAGCAAATGAGATTGGAGTTAAACTATGTTGTTTACTTGATTGGGGTTGAAAAGGTAAACACGTTTGTAGACAAACCTGCCACGTTGTCTTTCTTGGCTCGGACCTTGACCTGGGCCTTGTTGACATTCTGGATTACAGTTGTGCTGCGGATAGAAAATGACCAGAAACACAATGAAACACGCCTTATAGATGAGACCAGGTCATATTATGTCATTCTGATTCTTACCTGAAGTCTCCAGCTGCAAACTTGGCTTCAGCCAAAGAAAATGCAGCCTCTCTCATCACCTCTCCCATCTTGGTCTTCGTCTGAATGGGTTTGGAAATATATGTAGATAAAATGTTATATGTGAATGTCTACTTATGGTGGGAGGGTTTTGGTTAAAGACGAAACCTGTTCACCTCAATAATTTTGCGAAGGATCTGACGGAAGCGCATGGAGAGGGCGTCAGCTTTCTTCTTCAGCAGGTTGCGACCGGTCTGCGCTCCTTTCAGCCTGGCCTTCATGATGGTCTGGGCCCTGTAACATCAAACACACACACACACACACTGGTCACCTCAGTGGAACAATGAAAGATTATGTTGAAAATGTAGTGATGGTCCATGACGTCTTCTGGGCAGAGGGCTGGGGGTTCGAATCCCAAAGTAATAGAATGTTGGTGAGCAGTTTATTAGTTTTATTTTCTTTGTATTACTTTATTACCACTTGCATGTTGATCTTAGTTCTTTGAGGTTTTTTTGTTTTTGTTTGGGGTTTTTTGGGGTTTTTTTTTTTGCCAATTTCTAACCTTCAACAGTAAGTGTTTGAATATATAGTGCTAATATTAGTTGAGTCATACATTAGTTTAAGTTTTTGGTAAGTTTCACTGAGTCGTTAACTTTTAGCAGTTACTTTTAGCATTTATCGTCATGTTTGCACAACAACAATTTAAACATTTAAAACCCCAAAACTAGAGCACAGAAAATATGTATGTAAGTATGTATATATGTATGTTCTACTGCACCGTAGTCGGACAGTGGGGAAAAATACTGTATATTTTATGGTGGTATTAATTAGCATTTTAATCGAAGTTTAAAAAAAAGTAGATTTTGATTTTAGAACGACATTTTCCTGACAGCGATGTAAATGTGTTCGTTATCAGCAGCTGTACTCACTGTTACAGTTCACACTTCAGTGATGCTTTTAAAACAATCACATGACAACAGAGCCTGGCTCTTCCTCTTTTGAACGACAGACAAAGCACAGTGATCTAAAGATAGGCTCATATTTAACAGTCGTTTAGGTTGCAGATTCCATATGGAATCCAGATATTTAGAATGGCTGATGTGTTACATGGAATTAGCAACTAGCCTACAAACAAGCTGCTTACATTCTGGAGGGGAAGATGTCAATCCTGTCTTTTCCGGACATCTTCGCGTCTTGTGGTTGACGATTCCAAACGTCTGTTTCTATCCGTTGGTTACAGCCGACTGTGAAGTTGTAGTTTTTTTATCTCAGATGCCTTAATATGTTTTCCGAATGTGTAGGATTAGAGCGACTGAATGGACGGTCGTGATCTTGTCAGTCTGTCCCTGGTAGTCAGCTGATCTCCGGTCATGTGACCGGCATTGCACCCTGCTTCGCCATGCGCATGCGCACCCAGAAGCGTCATCGATCCTTTCCGGGTCGCAGAGTTTGCGCATCCACGATTATGAGTTAGTGGGCCAGTCGTCTTCATCTAAAATCCCCGAAAAGAGAGTAAAAAAGTGAAAGAAATCCTAATTCCACATATCACCTTGTAACCGTATGAAACCAGTAAGTTTTTATTCACCATTTCGTTTTAAACAGACTCCAGGGCAGACGAGCGCGTCAACCGGCTAGTTAGCTGTTAGCTAGTCCCGCATGTGTGAGCTGGAGACGTGAGGAACTAACGGAAATATAAATAAAAGTCCTCCGGTTTTATGTTTTGTTCAAATAGGATTTCCTTTGTAGTCATATAGAGATGGAGTTTATTGTGTAACGGACTCAGTGTCTGTGTGTACTTCGAGTCTTAGATTGAAATGTTTGGGGGCTTGTAGTCAGTGTGCGTTGCATCATCCCATTTACAGTGGAAAAGACCGGCGTTTGTGTAGTCGGTCGTTTAAAACAACTCATTAAACTGGTGAACATTATCTGTGATGGATTCTACGTGTCTGTGCCTTTATTTTGTAAGAGCTAATCAGTGCAACGTCTTTATTAGGGGATGTTTGTCATCTGACTACCTGTACCCCACTCGGAACAATAGTTCTGGTACCTCTTCGTGTTTGTTTGATGTGGTTTGTCGTTAGCTGATTGTTATCTCAAGATTTATTTACTTTTCCAAATTATGTTGTGAGATTAATATATATTTTCCACTCCTCGTGATTACAGTTGTGTATAACACATAATACCAAATGGCTAATCTGGCTGTGAAAACCATGTAGTGAAGCAGAAGTCCCGTTTTGGCGTCTTTCAGTAAAGAACACATCTAAGTTATATGCACTTTTCAGAATTAATGTTTTTAAACATGTAAACATTTTAACTGCATCAATCAATAGACCATGTCATCTCATAGAATTGGGACTTTTTTTAAATGAAAGCAATGGTCCCCAAAATGTGTAGCTTGGTCATTGTTATTGTCTTTTGTAGCCATAGTTTGATATGTGGGAATGATGATTCTGCAACTAGATGTTGGCAAGTATTTCTTGATTATGAGGAAAATAGCATGTGATCTTCTTAAAGTTTTCATGTCGAAGGTTGGCCATTGTGGCAGAAAGTGACTCTTAAAATGCTGGGTTGTACACCAGTATACAATACTCTTTACTTTGCTTCTCAAGACTAAACACCTAATCCAAAAAAGCAGCATTCGATGCTTTGATTTGATTGTGAACATTTCATCCTATTGATTGTTTTTAAGCAGCGTTCGATGCTTTGATCGATGCTTTTGAACATTTCATCCTATTGATTGTTTTTTTTTTTCTTGTTGTTGTCCGTGTAGCGATGCCGGGGCTCAGCTGTCGCTTCTACCAGCACCGGTTCCCAGAGGTGGAGGACGTGGTGATGGTCAACGTGAGGTCCATCGCTGAGATGGGCGCCTATGTCAGCCTGCTGGAGTACAACAACATCGAAGGCATGATTCTCTTGAGTGAGCTGTCGCGTCGACGTATCCGCTCCATCAACAAGCTCATCCGCATCGGTCGTAACGAGTGTGTGGTCGTCATCCGAGTGGACAAGGAGAAGGGTGAGTTGCGATGACCCCCACACTGTAACACGACTTAGAGTTATTAGCGTAATGGGTATTGCCTGTGGTCGTTTTTCTGAGGCTTGATCTAGTTTTACCAACAACGAAAGGTGAATGGGTAAAACAAAGGAATGAAAAGTTTTAGTAATGTAATGTTTGGTAAAAAAAATCATACCTATTTAAAAATCACCCAAAGCATGCCTTACCATCATGGAAAAATGCAAAAAAAATCCCAGTCCCAGAAATGCCTTAGAATGCAAGTTTATGTGGAACAATGCAAAAAAAATAAAAAGACCCAGAAATGCCTTAGAATGCAAGTTTATGTCCTAAAACATGCTGCCAGGTGAATATTTTGTGTTTAAAACAGTATTTCTAGCTCCACCGCACTGAAGCAAAATCTGCGGGACATGACATGTTTTGTTTGATCTGCACTCAATTGAGTGCGCCTTCTTATGTAGTCGGGCACGAGTGCCACTCAGACTTGACTCAACTCAGACTAACCAGAGCTCATTGTACTCAGCCGTTGTGAAACAGAAAAGTCAGCCAGAGCTGTGGCATTAACTCGGTGTTTCATGAGCCAGCTTCAAGAAACGGACCCCTGGACATTACAGTTCAAAACATTGAGTAGTTGAATTGAAAATGTTAGCAGTTACTTGAGAGTGATTTAATTCATGTATTTGTTTTATTATTCTGCTGTTATTAACTGTATTCTGTCCTTTCTTCCGTTTCCTGTCAGGATACATCGATTTATCCAAAAGAAGAGTTTCACCAGAGGAGGCCATCAAGTGTGAAGACAAATTCACTAAATCTAAAACTGTGAGTGGAGTCGTTGTTGTTGTTGTTGTTGTTGTTGTTGTTGTTGTTGTTGTTGGTCAAAGCTGCAAAAACACGGGTTGTCGCAACCTGACAATTGTCAGGTTTGAGCTAAGCTGATGTAAGCCACCGTGTTTGCAGGTTTACAGCATCCTCCGACATGTGGCTGAAGTCCTGGAATACAGTAAAGACGAGCAGCTGGAGAACTTGTACCAGCGCACGGCCTGGGTTTTTGATGAGAAGTATAAGAGGCCAGGATACGGAGCCTATGATGTCTTCAAACTGGCTGTGTCGTGAGTTTTTATTATTCTTTTAAAAACCTCAGCACATTTGATTGGAGCTTATCACCAGAGACAGTGTGATGTCATGCATGTTTTGTCCTCTAGAGACCCTTCTATTTTGGATGGCTTGGACTTAACAGAAGAAGAGCGAAATGTTCTGATAGACAACATCAACAGACGACTCACTCCACAGGCTGTCAAAATCAGAGCAGGTACATGAGAATGGCCCAGCCCTGGGGCAACTGTGGCAGTGGTTAGTGCCTCCCTGCTCTCCTGGTCACATCTCTCTCTGTTACGTTTGCAGACATTGAAGTGGCGTGCTACGGCTACGAGGGTATTGATGCGGTGAAGGAGGCCTTGAGGGCCGGACTGGGCTGTTCCACAGAGGCCATGCCCATCAAGGTAAGTGTGCGATGGTGCACAGGCTTCCATCAGTTTAGAGGACGTTCTGTGAATCGTTGGTGTGAATGTTGTGGTTCTTGTTGTGGTGCCACAGATTAATCTGATCGCTCCTCCTCGTTACGTGATGACGACAACAACTCTGGAGCGCACAGAGGGTCTGTCTGTCCTGAACCAGGCCATGGCCGCCATTAAAGAGAAGATTGAGGAGAAGAGAGGCGTGTTCAACATCCAGATGGAGGTGAGTGTGTGGAATATCTTTTTGAATATTGACAAAGACAACACAACAGTTTGTATGAAGATGTAGCTAATGTTTGAGCATGGTGCTTCATTTTTTCCCTAACCTCCAGCCCAAGGTGGTGACAGACACAGATGAGACGGAATTGGCTCGGCAACTGGAGCGGTTAGAGCGGGAGAATGCCGGGGGGGGCGGGGACGGTGATGCCGGGGGGGGGGGGGGCCA